TCTCTTCTACATGTGAATGCAGGGCTGGCACTGCCTTTTTGGCGAAGAAATGCCGGCTTGGCACTCTCCACCGCGGCGCGGCACAAGCCATCATTTCTCGAAAGGTGCTGAGTCCACCACTTGGAAAGGGGAGGGACTGCAGCACCAGCAACTTGGACAGGAGGACGTTCAGCTTCTGCACCGTCGGGTGCGTGCTCGCAAACTGTTGTCTCTTGGAAACGGATTCCAAGAAAGACTGCTGACGGAATCCGTGAAGAGGAGTAGCAGGAGAAGGAGCATCTGAACGAGCGGAAGATGCCAACGAGCGACAACTCCCCTCAGCAGAGGTGTTGGAGCCTTGACTGGCTGATAGAGGGCGATTGACGTCGGGTGACGGAGCAAGTAACGGAGCGGGGATGATGGAGCGGGGGCTGGGGCAGGCAGAACCGCCGTATCTTTATCACGGTTTTCCCAGGCCACCGAATGGCGACGCTGCATATGCTGACGCAACGCTGTAGTCCCAACATGGGCCCCCTGGCCACGCTTGACTTTCTGGCCACATAGTCGACATACGGCTACGTTTACTTCCTCGGGCGGCTTGACGAAAAATTGCCACACCGCCCGAGTAGGAAACTTTGCCCCCGCTACTCCTCACTGGCTGACTGCTACTTCCTCCGTGCACACCGGCACCACTACTGGCCGTGGTGGTAGGCTGCAGTGGAGCTGGTGCTCTACTCCGTGGCCGTTTGCCTCCACTGACACTGCTGCGACCCTGCTGCCTCCTGGGCAACCCACCGACTGTTTTGCTCGCTGCCAAGCTGGCACCCTCTTCTCCTGATGATGCGGAAGCAATAGCCTGATGACGACGAGGCTGCCAAGTGCGATCAGCCTCATCATCATCAATTAGGCGTCTCCGCCTCACTACTAGCCCCCTCGGCTGCGTTCGGGTCAGGAGACAGACCTGTCTCTAGACCGGCTACCGAGCCACTCTCCTCGCCAGTACTTCTTCGCCTGGCTGCTGAAGAGGCGGATGTCTCCCCCCGTTCCTGACCGCCCTCTGTTAGCTCTTCCTCACTGTACAGTGGGGCTGAGCCCACAGCATGCGATACTTCGCTTGGTGAGGGAACACCAAAGGACAGGGGGGCAGGTAGAGGACACGTGATTTCAGTGGGCTTGGTCCCGGGCCATGCCAACTAACGGTTGTGTCTGACGTACCCACCGACCGTTGGCTGTAGGTGTCAGAGGTGACCTGGGAAGAGGAAGACGACCGAGCCAACCAATCGATGACGGCAGGGTTGTCGGTGGAGACACGACCGCTGGATGACACCGGGAGCACTGGCCTCTGGCTGCGACTAGTGCTGCCTCGACCCCTTCCTCTGCTGCCACGTCTGCTCACTCCTGAAACATTGCCTCCTCTGCCACTCCTCTGCGTGTTGTCTGACATACTATTTAATTCAATAAGCACCCCAAAAATATAAAACCGGATTTAACTCTTTGAACGTACAATAGTGGTTGTGAAGCAGAAAGTAACGATTCTGTGTCCCTGAGTAACGATTCTGTGTCCCTGAGTAACTATTCTGTGTCCCTGAGTAACGATTCTGTGTCCCTGAGTAACGATTCTGTGTCTGTCCCTGAGTAACGATTCTGTGTCCCTGAGTAACGATTCTGTGTCCCTGAGTAACGATTCTGTGTCCCTGAGTAACAATTCTGTGTCCCTCAGTAACAATTCTGTGTCCCTCAGTAACAATTCTGTGTCCCTGAGTAACAATTCTGTGTCCCTGAGTAACGATTCTGTGTCCCTGAGTAACGATTCTGTGTCCTTGAGTAACGATTCTGTGTCCCTGAGTAACGATTCTGTGTCCCTGAGTAACAATTCTGTGATTCTGTCCCTGAGTAATTCTGTGTCTGAGTAACAATTCCTGAGTAACGATTCTGTGTCCCTGAGTAACAATTCTGTGTCTGTCCTGAGTAACGATTCTGTGTCCCTGAGTAACAATTCTGTGTCCCTGAGTAACAATTCTGTGTCCCTGAGTAACAATTCTGTCTGTGTCCCTGAGTAACAATTCTGTGTCTGTCCTGAGTAACGATTCTGTGTCCCTGAGTAACGATTCTGTGTCCCTGAGTAACGATTCTGTGTCCCTCAGTAACAATTCTGTGTCCCTCAGTAACAATTCTGTGTCCCTGAGTAACAATTCTGTGTCCCTGAGTAACGATTCTGTGTCCCTGAGTAACGATTCTGTGTCCTTGAGTAACGATTCTGTGTCCCTGAGTAACGATTCTGTGTCCTGAGTAACAATTCTGTGTCCCTGAGTAACGATTCTGTGACCTTGAGTAACAATTCTGTGTCCCTGAGTAACAATTCTGTGTCTGTCCCTGAGTAACGATTCTGTGTCCCTGAGTAACGATTGTGTGTCCCTGAGTAACGATTGTGTGTCCCTCAGTAACGATTCTGTGGCCCTGAGTAACGATTCTGTGGCCCTGAGTAACGATTCTGTGGCCCTAAAGTCTCTGTGGCCCTAACTCTGTCCCTAATACACACAGGTCTGTCTCTCTTGAATGACCGGAGGCTAATGGAGAATTCTAAGATGGCCGCGATTTATAGCTCCACCATTACACAGTGCTGGCTGGCTGGCTGCTGATTGGCTAATGCGATCACATGTCATGAATGAATGCATTATGGGTCAGCGCGCCTTGTCTGCACGCCTTCCCAGAGATCCCCGCTCCGTCGCCACACATGTCGCCGCCATTTTTGGGAAAATTCGATTCGTGCATCCGAAGTTTGCTAATTTTCAGATTCGGCGCGAATCAAATTTTTCCTAATCTTCGAAACGAATTCCACTTCGTCATGCTCGATTCGCTCATCTCTAGCCATAATACACACCAGGTTTGGAGGTAAAATGACACTGCACATCACCCCAAAGACACCATACCAACATTAACATTTGGAGGTGGGAACATCATGGTATGGAGCTGCTTTTCAGCATACGGTACTGGCAGACTTCATGTCATTGAAGGAAGGATGAATGGGAAAATGTACCAAGACATTCTTGATAAAAATCTGCTGCCATCAACCAGGATGATGAAGATGAAATGAGGGTGGACATTTGAGCAAGGCAATGATCCCAAACACAAAGCCAAGGGAACTCGCAATTAAAGATGCTAGAATGGCCCAGCCAATCACCTGACTTGAATCCAATAGAAAATCTAAGGAAAGAATTAAAGATCAGAGTTCATAGAGGAGGCCTACAGAACCTTTAAGATTTGAAAACTGTTTGTGTGGAAGAATTGACCAAAATCACATCTGAGCAATGCATTCGACTAGTTTCTCCATACAGAAGGCGTCTTGAAGCTGTCATTACCATCAAAGGATTTTTATTAAGTATTAAATAAATTTCAGTTAGCGTATTCAATACTTTTTCCCTGTGTCATTCCATTTTATTACACATAACTTAATTTCTGAATTTATTTAATTTGGTTCCTTTATATCCTAGATTGGAAGCTCGAAAGAGCAGGGCTCTCGAACCCCTCGTGTATCGCATTGTATTGTTATTGTACTGTTGCATTTTCTGTCTCCTTTTACAATGTACAGCGCTGAGTGAACTGTTGGCGCTTTATAAATACTGTATAATAATAATAATAATAATGTATGGATTGCATGGATTGTTACTGACGAAAAAATGTCAATAGCACCTTTAGAAATATATTTACTTAGAAAAATGGTGACATGTTCAATACTTATTTTACCCGCTGTATCGCGGCCCTTTTTTTTAATATTGGTACCACGTTAACTTTATGCATATCAGCTGGCACCATTGCAGTCAATATGCTTGACTTGAAGATTTAGGAATAATGGTCTGGCAAATGACCTGGCGAAGTTCTTTTAGGTCCTGGTGATTTGTTCACATTTGAGATTAGGAAGAGGCTGAGAACAATAGAAGGTGCTTTTCTGAGTTAAGAATACATTCAAATAAAAACAATTTTCAAAACAAAAAAAAAAATACATACTTGAATAGAATATTTTTTTATCCAGAGTATAGTGCCACTTTATTTGTCAACTAACTCATGCGTAAAGTTCAAATCCACCCAAATCTTTTTTGTGTTGCTTTGATTGGAGCAGGGAAGGGTAGGAGCCTCTGTCAGGGTTTTATTGCTGTGTCCCCACTAGGTTCCAGTCAGAACAGGATAAATATAGAGGAGTTGAGAAGGGATAGAACTGAAATAGTTAAGCTGGCAATACACAACAATTTTTCAAATGGACATTCACATGAATAATTTGTAATTCTTAGTGCATTTGATGGCTGGACAAATGTTGTTCAGCAGTATTTAAAAAGCTTTTTTTGCTTTTAACATTCGATTCTGGAATGACAGTGATTTCCTGATTGAAAACCACATACTGTATATTGTTAGAAACTCCTTGATTTGAGAAAAAATTTCCACCCGGCTCTCTCAAATTTTCTCATCACTGTGGTCAAACATGAATGTTATTTGACCCATTAATGATTCAAAAATTGAGGGGTCCTAAAACAAAGAACTTATTAAAAATCTAGTGTATAGCCTGCTTTAGTATTGCTGTCTGTGCCTTCTTGTCCTGGTCACACAGCGACAAGAAGTAAAGGATACATTTCACTAGTGTAGACACAGGCAATTTAAAAAAACAGGTAGAAGTTTTTACTTTTCCCCACTCTAAGGCTGGCCATATGCTATACAATTTTCTGTCCAATTTCTGCCCAATTTCCATTAGATTTAACTTCAACCCCGTAGTTCAAGAGCCTGCCTAACTGGATACAATTGAAAGTGTTGTTAGGTTTGACCTCCTATTATATGGTTTTTGGTAAATCTAAACCAAAGATCTCAAGAAAATTGTATAATGTATGGCCAGACTAACAAACAAAAAAAGCTGAATTTAGTCTTTATTGAATGATTGCATTAATATATTCCTTCCTGTTTGATCTTTGTAGGACAAATGGGAGCATCTGGTCTCAGAGAAGAAGTCTGTAGAATTGTTCCATCATGTCAGCCTCATGACGTTGGACAGCATCATGAAATGTGCCTTCAGTTACCAAAGCAACTGCCAGAATGACAGGTCAGTATCTCCTGAAAGCAGTATTAAAATATTGAGAACTTTTTGGTTTACTGCTATGAGGATACCTGGGGCTAAAAGTGATTACTGCATGGCATAGACTGGTCCCACATTTTGTCTCTTTGCAGTGAGAGTGAATACATCAAGGCTGTCTATGAGCTGTCCTATCTGGCAGAGTATCGATTCCGAACTTTCCTATTCCATAGTGATCTCATCTTCAACCTGAGCCCATATGGATTTCGCTTCCGGAGGGCACTAAGAACAGCTCATGAACACACAGGTAAGTGTCAGTCTATGAATGCTACAGGACAGCAGCCATGGAAAAGTATGAAGGCTAACATCACTGACCTGCTTAAGAAAATGGTATTTCTCTGGCTGCTTCTGTAGGTGTATTACTAGAAATGCTTGATGCCCATGATAGTAATGGGGGTTGGGCAGAGGATGCCATGACATTACTCCTGGATTGCTGGAGCAGACGGTTATGAAAATGCCACAAGGGATGGTGAGATGCTAGTGATCATATGTGCATTTTGCTGGTGATATAATCTATTTGCATTATCTGTGAGGTCATGGAGCCGACTGTGCTACTATGTATGGCTTAAAGTTACCTTCACTTTACTGAAAGTCTATATTTGGATCAATGCTGATTAGTGGATCATATATCTTGCTAAAGAATTAGTGAACCATCTATCCAGGCGCCAATTGTGACTTCACTCATAAAATGCCCACAATTTCGATGGGTTCCACATGACTCTCTATTTATTCATCACTACAAGGCATTATTACAGTGATCATTACACATACAGTATAGATCTTTTGATGCCATATAAACAGGAACATTATCCCTTGAGATTCCTCACATTATATTCTATTAATCCATCACCTCCCATGTATGTATGTATGTATGTGGTCGAGTGAGCAGCTGCCTGGGTGACCAGACAACGTTGTCTTTTTAATTTAGTTAAGTAGCGGTGGTGGTTTGCTCATTTTGTGTGTATCATTTGTGCTATGGGCATTTATTTTTCATTCATGTCCTTTTGATTAAGCTGCAAGGTCTCATATGAAACTTTCCTTTAGGGGTATCTTCTACCCTTTTTTATATGTGTACTGATTGTGAGTTTCGGTGACCACACCCAATCATTTACTAGAATTTACTCTCTTTGGGTGGAGACAGCAATCATCCGGCAGCCGTTATGAATGCAGGGTAATTTATATCTACTTATCCCTTCAGTATTGGCTATAGAGGCCCATGGAGTACCGTTTTTGTTTTTTAATTGATCATGCAGATTTACTTTATATCAAAATGCACCCCCTTAAGTTCAGTAGGAGCTATAATGAGCAAAGTTTGCCTTGTCTTTGCTTTGAGACTGACTGACTGTGTTGGGCAAAGCTGCCCAACAGTGCTGGTGTGAACGAGGCCTATTTTGTCTCATTGTAACTAAGGTCACCTTGGTCACATAGAAAACCATGAGGGAGAATCCAAAATTCTATAGTTGTACCCAGAACGTGAGGTAAGAGGAAATCTTCCATCAGGGACACCTGTTTTGATGGGAAATATCTAAATGAAAATATCCCTAACTTTGGGAGATTTCTTCCGAATTCTTGCTGCATTTCAGAACAGGAAGTGAAGGGAAATGTCCCCAATGTTACACAAGCAACAAAAAGATAACATTAACCCTTTCCTACTTTATCCAAAACTAAAAACAGTTTTGGCTTTACATACACTTTAAAGAAAAGTTGTGTTCAACTTTTGTTAAGTATAACCATAACTTAAAGTGGCAGTTCATTAAAATTCTAAGGATAAATCTACTCCCACCCCCATTCTAAGACTATTCTATCTACCCTGTGAAAGAAAAGATGTGTATACTTACCTATTATGAAGCTGCTCTGATCCGGTCACATGATCAGCTGTCAGTGGCAGCTTCAGTGAAGAGGAGGGGCAGCTGACAACAGATGCCCCATAGTAAGCCTATTGATGATATTTTCTCCTGGGCTCTGTGGCCGTCATCATCAATTTCTCCTCTACACTAAAGCAGCCGCTGGAGAGATCATTTGAATGGACTGAATAATTGGGTGGGAGTTAGGATTTGACTGGAATTTGACTGCTTTTAAAAGGTGCTCGCCCTGGGGCATGGAGCTTGTGAGAAATGTATAGGTGAAATCACCCAAAAAGGGGCACAGAGCCGTGTTATATATAGCTCCACTTGAACATCTACATTAATAATCCTCTCTGAATTTAACTTTTTGTTTTGTCCTAAGGGGGTTTGATATTGTCAAATTTCCGAATTTTGGAATTTGACAATTACATTTTATACATTTACAACATCATGATGTTATATTAGTTGAAACATTGGTATTGTTCTTTCCAATACAGATAATGTGATCAAACAACGGAAAGCATCTCTTAAAAAGGACACTGAGCTGGAGAAGGTCAAACAGAAGAGACACCTGGACTTTCTCGACATTCTTCTGTACGCCAAGGTACCAAATCCAGGCTGAAAGCACCACTTGATATAGACAGTATAATTTTCATCATTAATTCTTGTAGCAAAGATTTAATTCACTTCCATGGATCATGTGTACAATTTTATTAGATTGTCAAAATAGATTTATAGAGAAACGTGGTTTGCTTGTTTACTTGTCATTCTGAAAATACTAGTTTTAATGCTAATCCACTTGCTTCAAACCTGAGACATGGACTTAAAACAAGTATGTAAGGGCCGATATAAGTTCTTGTTCGGGGGTCAATGTCTTAGAAAAGTTTCAAGCCAGAGGTCAACATAACAGCCAGGTAATATGCTTTTTCAGAAAAAAATAGGCAGATGGCGATCCTTATGTTTTTCTTTAGCCCAAGGATGCTTTGTGAAAATAGAATTATCCAACCCAAATTTGCCTTGCTTCCCAGGATTCCTGTGGCCTCATGCACACTGGATGTTTTTTTCAGCTGCTCCAGTGTGTCCAGGAGCAGCAGCATTTTGGCAGAAAAAAACGCTTGACGCTTGTAAACGTGTGTAAACGCGCATTAATGCACATGCACTAGCACACATTTTGTGCTTATTCTTGCCAAATAAATGAATCAACTCCCAAACGCTTGACGCGGCTAAACACATTAAGTTCTTTTACATGTGTCAAGCATTTTTCAAAGCCAAAATGCTGATTCCAAGAGGAAAGATGTCTAGGAGAGATAGAGAAACCTCCAGTGTGCATCAGGCTTAAAAAAAAAACTAAAAAATTTTGTTCTGTTCTTTACCCCATGGCAACAACTTACATTTATCTTTAGCAAAAAGCTACATAGCAAAGCAACATAAATGCCAAAAATCCCTATTTGTGTTCAGTTTTGAGAACGTTTACTTTCACAGTATAAATACAATAAGCATTATGAGAAATTCATTCACAAAATGCGATTGATATGTATTTTAACTTTATTATTATTATTATTATTATTAGGTATTATTGGGTTTTATCACACCAAGACAGTAACACTAACAGTCCACAATTATTTTGGTTATTTGGAGACAGACAAATCTGTATAAAGGTTTTCTTGGAACCTCATAAAGCAAAAATACATCAAAATGCATTTAAAGTATACCTCCAGCCACTTTTGTTTTAGTTAAGAGTTGCACTGGGTTTAGAACCTCTATCCAATTTTTTTTGCTGTCTATGGTGCCATTGGGAAAATTTGACCCGATGATAAAGTTGTAACTGGGATAGGAAGAAAGAAATCTCACAAGTACAGCAAATTACCACCGAGAATAATGCTAACAGACTTCTTATCTTTTTCTTTGGAGTTGGATCCTTGTTAAATGGATCAGTGATATGTTATTGTCTTGCTGCTCGCTTACTGTGACTGAGATTTTTCAGCATTCTGGGCCAGCAAGGGAATAATTCCAAACAGGGAAACCACATCTAGGTGATTATGCCGCCAGCTGTAGAATCACTTTCCTTACAGTGATGCAACATCATGTAAAATTCAATTTACTAGTACAGTGATGGAAGGCTTTGTAAATAAAATGGCACTTTAATAAAATACCTGTTGGACTTTAATGTACAAATTCACTCACAGTTTACAGTAATACGTTTCTCAGAATTCAAAACTTAAAGTCAACCTTCGAGGGCAGAACTATAGAAAGTACTTTTGCTGACCCATCTGATTATTTCATTGAGAATTCTGGGTAGATTAAGGCAGGATTTGTGACTTGTTCTGAAATTTTTTGTTATACTATGTAAGAAGGTTTGCTAATATATGAATTTTTTAAAACATTAGGATGAAAATGGTCAGGGCCTTTCAGATGAGGACTTGCGTGCAGAGGTGGATACATTTATGTTTGAGGGACACGATACAACGGCCAGCGGGATCTCCTGGACATTGTACTGTATGGCGACACAACCTGAACACCAGAACAAATGCCGGGAGGAGATCAGAGAGCTCCTGGGAGGTCGGAACACTTTGGAATGGTGAGAACATTATCTCATTGTCCTTAAATATGATGACCCACCAGAAAGCTTTCTGTGCAGTAATAATGGTTAAGGCTAATCAAAATCTAAATAGTAGTTTTATGTGGATGCTTGAAAGTTAACATTTCCAACATCCCTCAGTTTTCTAAATTCCAGATATAAAGGGCTAGCTGGTTGTTAAACCCACTCCTATCCATTCCCAGCATTAATATCAGTTTTGGTTGTACTGTGCCTTTTAGCAATGGTAATAGTGAGTGAGGAGTAGGGGGTTGAAATTTAACTCTGCCTAACTCACGTTAGAATGAGACCAGAAAAGAATGTATAGTTTGCGATTATACAATGTCATGATTATTACTAAAATGAAACCATGGCCTCACTGGGATGACATCTAGTATCTTTCATTCTGGAAACTTGCTTCCTTGCATGACTGGCTGATCCAATTCAAAATAGTACACAGAGCCTACTTTTTGCTCCCTCCAGGCTTCATAAAATGAATTCATCCCATTCCTCGGAGTGCTGGAGGTGTGGCCATTTCCTGGGTAATTTTTCCCATGTCTTCTGGAATTGTTCCACTGTTGCTGGGTGCTGGGCAGACATGGTGGTCATACCTAATCCAATTACTTCATCCCCTGTACCCTCAGCTATGGAAATTTGCCTCCTAGGATTAAAGGAAAAGCTTATCCCTACAAAGGCAGAGAAACCTTGGTTAGTCTCCTCCATTTTTATGCCAGGAAGGCTATCACCTTGCACTGGAAAAAAAACAGCACCCCCATCCATTTCCTTTTGGAAACAACTGGTAAATAATAATCTCCTGTTATATAAAGACACCTGTACTAACCATGAATGTCCCATTAAATATGAAAAAGTACAATCTAAATGGTTAGTGGTCCCCACTACTGCTTCATCATGATTGGTTGATCTGAAGCTCCTTTTAATGCTTTTCTGGATAACATGTCCCATCTGTGGTAACATATACTATATTATTTCATAAGTTACTTACTGCGGCTTGATAGCTGAACGTTGAGAAGCCACACCACAACTGTTTGTGTTGCCAACGCTTCTATCTAACATCACTGCTAAGTTTCTTATTACACAGCCCTGCATGGGTAACATCTTGGTTATTTTTCCTTTTTTTTTGGTTTATGTTGTAATTGCTTTTCCACAAAAATCTTAATAAAAAGATTTTAAAAAAAATGAAACCATGGCCTCCAAAACAACATTTCTGCTGTACTACTCAATTATAAATGCATCTGGATTTACAGTTTTCTCTTGTTTCCCCTGCAATGTCCCACAATTACCCGTTGATCTTGTCAGTGAAGTTCACCTAATGTATCTTCTTGTGATAGGGTGGCAACAATGCTGCACAGCTCCTGTATTCAAAGCAGTATTGTCACTCTATTAAAGACTGTACCTCTTTAAACTACAGTGGGTTGAAAATATGTTGCACAGCCATGCATATGAGCATTGTCACTGCTGATTCACAAGCACCTGTAGCTTGTTGATCATCAACTGGCCACACCTAGTGCTTCCCACTGCTTTCTAGATTGACAACACTGCCTTTGTTACTGAAACCCTCCCACTTTGAGCTGCAGTGTCTGGGAGGGAAAGCATTTGAGACACAAATAAAGGGGGAATAGGCTCAGTCAGGGAATGTACATTTTAGGAAGTTTTTTTTTTTTTTGTTTGGTAGGCTTTTACTGTACATCATACATGTGCATAATTAGATCTGGCACTTGTCTAGACTGTCATACAGGAGCTTTAGTTGTACTTTAATCCAATTGTTATAGTACATCAGTCTCAAAACGCAAAAGGCAAGCACTATATAGATAAGAGCAACTAGCACCAGAGATAGTGAAAGCAAATCTCAATAGACAAACATATATATAAAGTGCAGCGCTTAAAACAAATATTAATATTAACAAAAATAAATAATAAGTATCGTATCAGAATAATATAAATAAATATATATATATCAGTGCAACCAATACAATAATAAATAAAAAGTCCTTCCAATATAGTTCTGTGTATCAGTGATGTGATGCGTAATCATGGCAAAACGTGTTCGGTTTTGCCATGATTACACACTGACTGGAGTCCAGTGTGTAATCCACCATCACTATGCACTCACCAGAGGGCTACTTGTTAGGTAGCAAATGTAACAGGAGATCTATGTTATCCACTCTCCAATATCCGTTGGTCCCTCCTGTCATGTTTTGGGAGAGTTTGGACTATTTGAACTTTCAGCTTCTCTGCAGTATCTGGGACCATTGAGCAATACTGTAAAACGAAACAAAAAGCGCACCAACCTTGCGCATTACCTCAGTAAAATGTGATTTTGTTGAATTTGAAAATATATTCACAAAAAGAGAAGTATAACAACCGTTTAAAGTCCTTAGCGAGACTCAAAGGGGTTTATTTACTAAAGCTTGAGAGTCCAAAATCAGACTCCCTTCTGCATAGAAACCAATCAGCTTCTAACCTCAGCTTGTTCAATGAAGCTTTGGCAATGAAACCTGGAAGCTGATTGGTTTCTATGCAGAAAGGAGTCTGATTTTGCACTCTCCAGCTTTAGTAAATAAACCCCAAGGAGTCTGAGACCAGCGCGAGGGAAGATTCTCAAAGTCAGGCTGATGTGTTTTAAAGGGAGTCCCATCTTCATTGAGCTCTGATGAAGAAGGGACTCCCTTCGAAACGCGTCAGTCTGACTTTGAGAATCTTCCCTCGTGATAAGACTCGCACTGGTCTCAGTAAGGACTTTACATGCTTGTTATACTTCTCTGTTTGTGAGTATAATTTCAAATTTAATAAAATCACATTTTACTGAGGTAACGCAAGGTTGGTGCGCTTTTTGTTTCGCTGTACAGTATTGGTCGGGCTTCCCCAGCCTTGTTTAGAGCCGCACAACCTTTGATGCTTTGGTGGTGAATTTCTTCAAGGTCCGTGTCCATCTATCCACCCTTGCTCTGGGCCATAGAGCGCATGAGGTGTTGTTTTTTGTTTCCACCACCATTGAGTAATGCCCAAATCTTCGATAACACAGCAGTGACAAGGCTGAGCACCCACTTCTCAGCACGTGAGGTGCTCTCCCGCCTCTCCGAGCAAAATCCACTCTGGGTTTTCCCGCCAACTCTTCAGACTTGGAATGTGACATGTAGAATCCTCTTACCTTTGGATGTTCTTCAGAGAAGGTCAGTCCTCAATGATGGTCATCATGCTCTCTGCATCACCCTGTACTGCAGGAGACAAAAGTAAGAGTTGAGTATAGTCCGGAAGACTATTAAAAAAAAATCGAAGAGTAGGGATTTAAATATTAACATATATTTCACTTTTGTGTGTAATCAGGGAGGATCTGGGTAAGATGCCATACACCACCATGTGTATTAAGGAGAGCATGCGCCTGTATCCACCTGTGCCAGGAGTGGCCCGTCAGCTTTCCTCACCCGTCACCTTCCCTGATGGACGGAGTCTGCCTAAAGGTCAGTCATCACCATACTGAGCTTGTGGGTTCTGTTTCTAAAGCCCAACTACTGTTTTTTTTATGTTTGAAAGTATACTTCTGTGAGGTTTCACTTATAACATTACTGTTGTAAAATTTTTCTGAATAGATAATGAGGGTCTCATCACATTTACAAACTGTTTATCAATGGTGCACTCCAAGAATGTGGTTGCCACAAAGTTATGTCTTCATCATGCTAATGAACAAATTGGTCAGTCATGATCTGCATTACAAATACACAAAATCTTGAGGCAAACCAGCCTATAATGTAAAAAGAATGCATGTGTTACTTACCAATGATGGGAAACCTGAGCCCTGTGGTGATGCACATAATGACTTTGATGAAATTTAACTTCACATCAGAAGCCCCCCTTCACAAAGGAGGTCCCCCCCCCATCACTTCAGTGAGCTAAAAACTTGAATGATTCAGTCCTCAGTGAACACTGCATCGCTCAGACAGCTGCTATCAAGCAATTATTGTGATTTTCATCTCAAATGCAAGCCTTTGTTTATGAATGTAGTGTTTTTTTATGTTTGTTTTTAACAATATTTTATTAAGTCAACTGCACTATGAGTTTGTGCGCCCTCTCTTTTCCTTTTACCAATCAGAGCTTCCCCATCATATCAGAGGTTCCCCATCACACCAGTATGAGAGTAGTCCCTTCATCACATAAGAATCCCCATCTTCCCATCAGGGTCCCCCCATCACATCAGAGTCTCCCCATCACATAAGAAGCCCTCCCCTTCCCGTCCAGGAGTCCTCCCATAAACATGAGAGCCACCTCATCACATCAGAGTTCCCCCTTCACAGTTTCCATATCACAGAGTCCTGTCTCCCATCAGAGCCTTACTCCAGCATCTTGGCAGAGGGCAGGAGGCAGAGTCGTTCTGGGCAGAGCTGCATGTCCATCCCCTACTGAATGCTGGGATGGTCCTGTAACAAATGCAGTGCCCAACCCTTGCCCTTCTCAAAGGACCAGCCAATCTCATACCTTTTTAACAATGCTACTCTCAGCTACACCCTGCACAGAGATTGTCCAGCTTGCGGGACCACATTCTATGTGGCAGCAGCCTGAGAGTGATTGTTGCTGGTTTAAGTTGATTAGCAATTAACCCTTTAAGCTGCCACCACCACCTTTTAACTGAGAAGGCGGGAACTCGTAATGTTAGCAAGAACGAATATGAAAAATAAACATCTGTACACACACTGTCACCACAGACAAGTATATTCAGAGGGTTAGGGATTCTTTTAGTTTGCATTAAAAGCCTTATTGACAGTTTAACACTTCAAAATAGGGTTTAATGATGAAAAGGTCAAATATTTACAGAAAAAAAGATGTTACAAAGAAATAAAGCAATAGAGAATTAAGAGTTGAAAATGAAGAATACTTGCAAAGTCCTTGGTTTTAGCAGCATCCAGTTGTCCAAGCAAAAACATTGCAGTGGCTCTCTCAAGTCCAGTTAGGTGTTCCTTGGTTGATGTTAAAATGAGAGCTGACAAATCTGCTTGAAATCTCTTTTTTATCTGACATCATGGGGGTGTTGACAGAGGCCATCTGACCAATTACCCAGTTTAAGGGAAGGTGGCAGGGAGGTCACCACATTTATTTATTTATTTCAGGTAATTGTATAGCACTGTCAATTTACGCAGCGCTTTACATATACTGTATATTGCACATTCATATCAATCCCTAACCCTCACGGGGTGTACAATCCTATGCAGGCACAGGGAAAACATGCAAACTCCAGGCAGGTGGTGCTGTGGTTGGGATTCGAAACAACGACCCTAGTACTGCCAGGCGGGAACCATTTAGCCACTGTACTGCCCTATTTATGACTGTATCATGCCCTCTCTTGCACACAGTTCTATACTAATATTAATATCATAATTAATATTATTAATATTATATTTTGTGTCCAGGGATACCAAACAGAGTATTTCAGTTGGGTCTGTCACCCAGGAGACTGCTATCTCCCCTTTCATATGTGCTAGCTTAGTCATGTATGACCTTGATTTGTTCAGTATAATATCCCCCATTCAAATACTGTATATATACTTAATATTAATGTTTCTTGGTCCTGTTGGATTTTATTAATTTTTTGTGGATTTTGTTAAGTTGTGAATAAGGCAGAGGTCTCAGAGAGGTTGTCCATGCCTGGCTACTTTCTGGATAGACGTTTTATGGCATGATATGCATTCCTAGTGCTTTAATTGTCTTACACATCATGTGTGACAGAACTGATGGATTTTGTCATTGTTTTACGATAGGTCGGAGGGAAGTGTTAATCTGTAGTTTTTTATGGTCCATAGAAACCGATATCCTGTCAGGCCTCAATTAGCTGTTTACAGCTCTGACCCCGATCTGTGTGCTGGTGTCTGCTGTCCCTAATTTGAGATAACAGGCTATTTTGAAGAATGTTAAAAGTTAAGGCTATGAATTCCATAGTTTGCAGGAGGAAGGCAGAGGTACGATCGCTGAGCTCAGGAAAAACAAAATAGCTGAGACCTGACAAGATGGCTGTCACCTACAGCTTCCATGTGCTTAATGTGCGCAACCATTACAGGCCCTGCATGCCACATGCCCGGGATCAGCATCCTGTGTAGCCATGGTGTGAGAGAGATGCTCTGTGTCCTGGCTTTGGAGCTTCGTTGGTAGTTTTAATGCTAATGGCTGGCCTGCCCACACCATGGCAATGCATGACATAGATGAAGGGAAAACTGCATTCTGTGTTTGTGGCTATATAAGTATATAGCATCTTCTTCCACAGATTTGGGCTTTTTCACTTTCCATACCGTGTTGACAAGGGTCCCTTTAAATACAAGCGAAGTTGTATTTTGTGTGCATATGGCCCATAAAATGTTGCACTCCTTGAAAAACAAATATATAATCAAATTAAATTACCCTCCCACATCTGAGGTTTACAATGTATCAAGCTTTGTTTTCTTTTATCTGGCAGATTCTATTGTTTTTATGAGTATATTTCTCATAAACAGAAACCCCCTTGTCTGGGATGATCCAGAGGTAAGGCTGGTCTACTTTAAAACTTAACGTGTATAATAAAATGTAATTGATTAAAAGCTTTGTGCAAATTCTGATCCCTCTTGAACAAGTTATGTCTTCATTAATAAAGTATACCATGTTTTACATTGTTTGTTGTGTACAGCATTGCATGATCCATGGTGTGTCCTTACAGCAGAATGAAATTGTATCTGAGCACCACAAACTGAAGATACTATTTAATTCATTTTTAACATTCAAAGTAAACTCGCCTATGTTTCCAGGTCTCCATGCTTTATTTTGTTGAGAAATCTCTCTGAAAAACACCCGCATTTCTAACTGTGGCTATTTTGAGTGAGATGATTTATGTAGCATTCACCTCCTGTAATCCATCTGCCCTTATCTCAGGCATGCATGAAGGAAGGTGTGCTTAGCTTAGAAAGTCCCTCCTCCTCTCCTCCAGCTGAAATAAAAACAATTCTCAAGAGGACTCCTGGGATGTATCACATCATTTTGGCCTAGGCCAGAAACCAGGAAGCAATTGAAGGAATGTAAAACAAAAAAGGTAAAACAGGAAAATAGAATATATCTTCCTGTCTATTTACTAATGCTACCATTTATTCCCCCAGTTGTACTCCCTCTAGTATGTATGATGCATGCATATTCTTAGCCCCCAAGTGCAGAACCTTACATTTGTGAACATTAAACCTCATTTGCCACATAGTTGCCCAATTAAATAGCGCATTGAGGTCGGCTTGTATGTTGGAGACATCCTGTAAGGACGGTATTCTACTGCACAGCTTGGTGTCATCTGCAAGGACTAAAACGGGATCATTAATCTTAGACCCTATATCATTTATAAATATATTAAAAAGTAAGGGTCCCAACACTGAACCTTGGTATACACCACTGACAACCCTAGACCATTCAGAGTATGAATCATTAACCACTACTCTCTGAATACGATTTTTTTAGCCAGTTTTCTATCCATTTACATACAGATTTTTCCAAGCCTGTAGACTTTACCTTACACATTAGCTGTGTGTGGGGAACTGTGTCAAACACCTTTGCAAAATCCAAATATACCACATCCACCACCACCCCTCTGTCCAAGGTTTTGATCACCCCCTCATAAAAAGAAATCAGATTTGTTTGACAACTTCTGTCTTTCATGAATCCATGCTGTCTGTTGCTTAAAATATTTTTTTCCACCATGAACTCATCTATGTGGTCTTTTATTAAACTCTCCAATATCTTCCCGACTATAGAAGTTAAACTAACAGGTCTATAATTACTTGGTAAAGATTTTGACCCCTTTTTAAATATTGGCACCACATTGGCCTTACGTCAATCCAGTGGTACTATGCCAGTCATTAAAGTCCCTAAAAATTAGAAACAATGGCTTTGAAATGACAGAGCTCAATTCTTTAAGAACCCGTGGATGTATGCCATCTGGTCAAGGTGCTTTATTCACCTTTATTCTGTCTAAATATTTTTGGATCATATCAGTTGTGAGCCAATGTGGATCATCTGGAGCTGTGTCAATACCATGCCCATTATGGACAAGAGCTCCCCCAGGCTCCTTTGTATTCACAGAGCTGAAGAAGGGATTCTCTGCCATATTTTTATTGCAGTCCTTCTTCTGGGGATATTCGCACATCTATTCGTCCTGGTGGCCATCATTGACTGTACAAAAAGTAATAGGAAGCCTTCCTAAATTTCAGAGCGGTCAAGAGTAAATGGAAATCTTCAAACGGGGATAGAAATTCCCCTCTATGAAGAGATTTCCTGTTAAAGTTGAGTCTTCAAGTCCGTAATCTTCCATATGGGAACCTCAAAAGGGGTTTTAATCCTTTCTCACTCTATCAAGAAGTAAAAAAGAAATTTTGGCAAGAACCTTACCTCGGTTAAAGCGAGTAAAAATTTTTTGCCTCAAAAGCAATCTCCCATCAGGTAGGCTTTCTTCTATAACTGTAAATGGACAAAAAATGTGACACGTCAAGGCTCAAAAATGGTGGAGGGCCCCATCCTATGCTGCAGAGTTATGCAAGAGCCAAGCAACCCAACCTGGAAGGGTAAGCAGTGCAGTCCACCTCAAATCAGGAAAATACAATGCTAAATAAACACAAACCGAAAGGGGGCAAATGCCTAGTGCATTATCTTTAGCACTTTATTTGGTAAAGCAAATAAAAATATATAATCACAAGCCTGAAAGCATTTAAAACACACAAGGCACGAAATACAAAAATGGATGACTGAGCCAGCTGATGTGTTTCGGGGAACTGGCCCCCTTCGTCAGAGCTAAGGCACCCTTCCTTAGAGCTATGGTAGACCGGGGGGCCAGTTCCCTGAAACACTTCAGCTGACTCAGTCATCCATTCACAAGTTGGAGTTGGATAGCAGACGACTGTGTTTCGTGCCTTATGTGTTTAACATGCTTTCAGCCTATCGGGTTTGTAATTATATATTTTTATTTGTTATACCAAATGAAGTGCTAAAGATAATGCACTAGGCATTTGCACCCTTTCTGCTTGTGTTTTTTGAGACTTCATCCTATATCTGACAAATGTCCTTATATTTCCAGGCTGTATGGATGTAAGCTCTGTAGGTCTCATAGACGGCAGTACTATGGTTAAGTCTCTGCCTCCCTCTCCTCCTGGCCTCTTTAGACTGGTTTCACAGTGTCCTAATCGCAGCATGGGTGTATCTGCGATTTTCATGCACTTAATCTGCAGTTTTAGCTGTCCCATAGACTTCCTATTAGGTTGTGTGTTTTAGCCACAGTTTCTGAAAGCAAAAGTATGCAGCATGCAAGACTTTTGATGCACTTTCAGGAAATCTGGCAAAATCAAAAAGTGTATGGGGCCACGGTTAAAACCATGGGTAGAGCTCACAAAAATCATAGATACACCCGTGCTGCCAGAACGAAGCACACTAGTGTGAAATCGGCCTTACTAGGGCGGTGTGCATACTCTCCTCTTATTCTTTCCATTGAGATCTTCAATAGGAAATCATTAACTTATCTAGATCTCAACTATGACTTGACTATAAAAATAAGAGGAAAACTTTATAACAGCAGCAGTGCCAAGATTGTTTGTTATTCTTAGTGCACATTATTATCATTGGTTAATGCAGTATGTATTTATTTATCTGTCACAGCGTGGGTACATTAAGGCTCCATTTACACTTGTAGGACTTCGAAATCCCTCAATTTTCATTACAACTTTACAGTGCAACTTGATGTGACTTTGATGCGACTTTAGATGAGTGCGACTTTGACCAATGATGCTGGTTTGTGCTGTACAAAGTCGCAAATAAGTTGCATGTATATCATTCAGGTGCGACTTTCATGTGACTTTGGGGGGTTTACATTGAAATCTATGGCCTTCAAGTCACATGAAAGTCAGACCAAAGTAGTGCAGGAACTACTTTCAAGTTGTTGTGACTTGAAGTCACACAGATATGAATGGTACTCATTGACAAACATGGGGTGCGACTTGTGGACCCCAAAGTTGCATGACAAGTCACACAAGTGTGAATGGGCACTAATTGATTTAATCCTAATTAAAAGGTATGAGCTAATAACAAACTTATACAAAGGTGTATATCATCATCCAAAAACATTTAGTGTTTTAAATAAATAATTATAGTGTCCAAACATAAATTACTGTCCAAAAAATATATATATATCTTCAGTGACTTGAACCAATTGTGAGAAATCCACCACCAAAGGAGATTAAATGAACTCACCAGAGCTAATGGCTGGTCAGATAATAAACCAGCAACAGCGCTAGTGCTCTGGGAGCAATGAAGCCGATGTCCAAACAGATATGGTGATGTTTCAGATACTTCCAGATAATAATAATCACAGACAAACAACTTTGCAGCCCAAGCTCTTATGATGAACTTCTCCACTCTTTCTCATACCTCCATGAGAGCATGCAGTACACTCAGGGACAAAAAAGAGAACATAATGGTGCAATACGTTTTTTTCATTAATCTCTTTAATAAAAAAGGTATAAGGAAACTCACAAACAAGGTGTCCAACAGACACCAGCTTCAATCGCAAAAAAAGGGTTGAGATACAGTTAACGCTCACCGTGGATCTCTCCCATACAGCACAGAACAGCAAGGCTCTCTAACGTCCACATCGAGTAGGCTACGCCCAACCGGTTTCGTCACACCGACGTCATCAAGGGGCGGTACAGAAACTAATTGATTTAAACTAGTTACAAAAGCATGTTAAGAGTATGTATCCTATTCCTATTTGAAGATTAAAGTCGGCCATAGGTGGATCGAATCTTGACCGATTTAGCAGGGACCGATTGAGACTCGATCCATCTATGGTCAGGGTGGTTGTATTGAAATCAATCCATTGGTCAACTTCAGTCCAATCAGTCTGTTGAAGTTTTTTCATACGATCATTTCCAGTGACTATTGCTGCCAGCAATGAACATTGTGTTCTGCTGGCAGAGAAGGCTCCCCGTTGGCAAAACATGATAGTGCTACAGGAGGGATTCCCCTATCAACACTGACTGTGTTGATGGGGAAATCAAGCAATTTTCTTCCCTGCAACCTGTGGCTTACTTTACTCTTGCCTCCTGTTCTGGTAACAACTACAAAAAAAAAAGCATTTCTTATCATTTTCTGTTTTGGTGGCAATGGTCACAGGACAAATCAAGATAGTGAATCGCTCCCAGAGAGAATACAGACACCAATAAAAACTTGGCAGGGTTTTAATCCTTTCACATTCCATCCAAAACAAAAAAAAAAAGATTGGTCTGTACATATACTGGTGAGAATGCTGATATATTTATGCTGCATAGGTGCTCCTAACTAGTGTTGAAAACTTTATTTTTCTTGCCCTATTGGTATTTTATGTTGTTACAGATATATATAAAATGGTACACACATTGTGATTCATTTTATGCTTTCAGGTTTTTGATCCCTTGAGATTTTCACCAGAAAATTCCACTGGCCGACATTCATATGCCTTTGTACCTTTCTCAGCTGGATCAAGGTATATGTCTTAGCCTGATATTACAGCATTAAAACTTTTACATTCATTTCTGTCAAGTGTTGTTCCCCCCTAAAGAGCTGCTGACAAACTTAGTCCTGTTCCCCCAGCTAAAGTACACACAGCCAGCCACACAGCACTTTTTCTTCGTTCTTCCACTGGCTCGAAGAAATAGTGTAGGGGTATTTTTTTAGGGTTTTTATTGGAACTTTGAACTTGGATGGGGTTGAAGGACGCATGGGATATCCCAGAACTGAAGAACTAAACACTTTCAGGACTCCTTAAAGCAGAGATCGACCCAAAAGGGGAACTTCTGCTTTAAGGCCTCCTCCCCCATTCCCGGTAAATAAATGGCACTTTTGGAGAGCAGGGGGAAGCGGGTTCCTGATTTTGACAGGTTTCCTCTCCAACTGCCTAGGTGATTGCAAGTGGAAGTTCTCCTCCCTCCTTGCCGTCTTCTGGGACACATGACAGGTCCCAGAAGGCTGCGGGACCATTCACAATGAGCAGCGTGATTCGAACATGTGCAGCGGGCACCCAGCTGTGAATCCAGAAGCTGTCACAGCCGGGTGCCCGCAGTTAACATGGGACAGACAGTAGGAGATGAAAATGGCTGCGGTGAGTACACCGCTGGATTGTGGGACAGGTGAGTGACAGCTTATTAAAAGTCAGCAGCTACAGTTGTTGTAGCTGCTGACTTTTAATTTTTACATAGGAGACTGGCGCTTCTCTTTAAGCTATCTTACTGTCTGTACAAAATGTCCCACAGGACCTCTATGCTGGCGATGACTATGTATTCTCCCAGATACAAAAAGCTACACACAGTCATTGACTTTCCAGCACTTGGATCATCTACTTACACAGCCACAGGATCATCGGTTGCCTCCTTCCAACATTCATCAGGCTCTTCTCAGTGAGGGAGATGCAGGCTTACACCACGACAGGACAGCTAGACACTTTTCTAAAAGCTTCCCCCTGGTTCTTTCCAGTAAGCTTCTCCAGATCCAAACTGATTCCAGGACTAAGCTTGCAAATAGGCCTTCCAGCTAAGGCTTAGCTGGGACCTCAAAGTCTTCCTAGTGGCACCTCTTGCACTCCTGCCCCAGGGGCAGAGCTCTTGCATAGGGGTTTCCTCCAGCAGAACTGGGCCCAGGAAACTCTCTCTCCCCTGTCAGACAATTTATGGGCTCTCCAACCACCTACTGGGCACAGCTTACCAGGGATTGACTGAAGTCTCATAAATATTCAGGCTGCTTACTTTGTTCTTCCTCCCACTATAATTCTAGAATCTTCTAGAATACAAGGGATTCTCAAGCAGCAACAGTCTGCGAGACACTGAGCAGGCATGAACAATCCACCCCTGGTCCACTGATTACAGAGGAGCTAGCAAAATTTACCTGATAGCCTACACTAATCTAGGAGGGTACTACACAAGATTTCTGTGTCCAGTTTTATATGTCAAAATCTCTTTTAGGGTAAGTGACCCTTTAGGAAGCAATGAGCTCATCACTGCATGATGCGGATAGAGGATTTTCCATCATTTCACACAAACTAGAGGGTCTGTTTAAAAATGTTTTCAGATAAGATTGATGCAATTTTCACCCAGGATTAATGTGAGTCTATGGTCCATACGAGTACATAGCATGGCTCCCTTCCTGAACTTGAATTCCAACATTTCATTGTGGCAAGCATAGAGATCTCTTGAATTCTTTAGACTTGTCTGTTCCCCCTACTGATGGAGGCAGGCAATGTTGCTAGGTGCAGCATGAACAGTTTAGTAAGAGCATAGAAAGCAGCTGCAGCCAGTGTTTCTCTCACTCTCCATTCTTAGCCAATCACCTAGCTGCACTTCTAAGTGCACTTTGGAAAATTCTCATTGTGCTCTAGAAATTAATTAAATAGATCATTTAAAATGGGTCTCCTTGTTAAACATGAGGAGAATCTTTTGGCTCAAATGTTTGTTTGCCGACCTTCTGTGAAAAAAAGCATCTCTTGCGGATGCCTTTTGAATATAAATGCCTTTTTGGCTAATCCTTGGACTACTATATCAAGGAAGTCACGGGGGGAACAGTACCTTTTTTATCTCTAAAAAAGGAAAGTGAGAATGCCAGCAGGTAAATCTTCTGTTTCTATGATAAAAAAGTGTTAATTTTATTTCTCTCAGGCCTTTAGCCATTTTTGATGCAGAGTTTGGAGCCAGCAATTTCTTTTGGTTCTCTTTAACCAAAATCCAATCATGTGTCTGCACTGCGTGCATACAGCTCTATTCCCTGAAACAGTTTATATTAGACATAGATAAGTCTGGTTGAAAAAAGACACAAATCGGACTAGATCAACCAACAGAAAAAAAAAAACACAACCTCCATATCAATATTCCAATACCAACAGTTGATCCAGATGAAGGTAATGGGAATACCTGTTATCTGGAGGTACCATTAGGCTGCATTCATGAGAATATTGGATAAGATGACATAATGTTTATAGGTCTTTTCTATTAGGTTCCATTTACAGATGATTATGAAATAACTATTGCTCTCTCCTCTCCAGAAACTGCATCGGACAGAACTTTGCCATGAATGAGATGAAAGTTGCCCTCGCATTGGCATTGCAGAGATTTGAGCTGAGCCCAGACCCCAAGATAGTGCCAAAGAAAATTCCTAAGATCGTTCTACGATCTGTAAATGGTGTTCCATGTATATCTGAAGAAAATATCTCAGAAAAAATAGGACCCAGAAAACAGAACAATATCATGTGTGTGATGTTGCTGCAGTCACTGTACTTTCTAATGTATATACAAATACATCAGTATGTGTAATGTGGCTATTTTTTATAACTTTTGATAACTTTGTTTTTTAGAAGGTACATTTAAAAACTCTGTCATGATGCCACACTCACCAGGGAGAGCTTTCCTCCTCACCAATCCATCTTTTCAGGATCCTAAGAAAAAATAATAAATGCACATTTATTTACTTGCAAAAAAAATGTGCATTTATTATTTTTTTATAAAAGGTGAACTTAGCCATAAAATGAGTGAAGCAGTTCTTATAAGGTCCAGAACCTGACAACTTTTTTCATGACAACGTAGCATACTTAAAGCTAAAGCTTTTACCATGCTAATTAATACAGTACATATAGTAAGTGTAACAACCATTTCTCATACAAGTACTGTATTTGTTTGGTGGTGCTATGAAGTTCATTTATGCTCAACCTCCAGCACACCAAAGCATTGTTTTCCCTTCCTTTTTTCGTTTTGGCGATGTTTGTATTTCCTGCCTTATACATGTATACTTTTTGGACTCATAGATCTTTAACCTCTTGGCATCGAAGCCTCCCAGCCCTTTAAGAGTTTCAGAAGCTGGGAGGCGGGGCAGGGTTTTAGGGGCAAGTGATTTGCCATCATGGCAGTCACATGATCGGAAAAGGTCCCGATCGAAAGGGGAGATTGGGACCTTTTTGGGAGTCACGGACATATGTGCTGGTAGCATGCAGGGCGCGCGCACTCTCAGCAAATATGTCATTTTTAATTGCATGCAAATATGTGGCCGCTCAGCATCAAGGCCCAGACGCCGAGAGGCCACATATTTGCGCGCGATCGGCGTCAAGGGGTTAAGTTGGTGGCTGTTTTAAATACATATATTTAAATTTCCTTGATTTTAATTTACAGAAAATACAGAAAATGTTAGAAGAACATTGCATTTCCTGTAGTTTTTTCCAAAACAACTTCCCTTAAATCCCACATCTCCAGATATGTACCAAAAAATGCCATCAACAAAATCTTCTGACTGAAAGAACATAATTGCAGTTTTCAAATAACCTCGTGCATTAATAAATATCAATGTAAAAAACAAAATCACATTTCAGTTCAAAAGAGCTATTTTCCCCTTTTCAACCCTACAAAGCAAATGGGAAAAAGTATTGCGGTTGCTTACCTGCTAGCATAATATTTGGGTGTCTGGCCAGTACAGTGGCTAAATGGTTAGTATTTTGCTTTGAATCCCAGCCATGTCACCACCTGCCTGGAGTTTGCATGTTCTCTCTGTGCCTGTGTGTGGGTTTCCTCCGGGTACTCCAGTTTCCTCTCACACTCCAAAGACATGCTGGTAGGTAAATTGGCCCTAGTATTTGTATGTAGGTGAGTTGGGGACCTTCAGTTGTATGCTCCTTGTGGGTTAGGAGCTGATGTGAATGTACTATATATGTAAATCACTGCATAAATTGATGTTATATAAGTACGTGAAATAAATAATAATTCATTGTAATACTGGCATAGTGAATATTCTGCAGCATTCAGCTATTATTTTTAAGGACTTACCCCACCATGCAGCCATATCTCTATACTATGTTTTGTTGAGAGATCACTTTAGAAAAAAAATCATCCCTCTAGCATTTCTAGGCATGGCAGTCTTTGAGTAATGGCAGATGATTCGTGTAGCATTTACTTCCTGGAATCCATCTGCTCTTAGCTCAGGTGCTAAATCAGAATTTTGACAGAGTCACCTTCAATGTTAATTTTGACATCAAATTTTGATTTAATTTTAGTCATAGTCTTTTGACTAAAATGCCATTTTAGTTTTAGTCGTATTTTAGTCATCTGAATTGTTTTAGTTTTAGATGTATTTTAGTGGACTAAAATCTGCAGTAAATTTTAGTCAACTAAAATCTCCTACATTTTAGTCAACTAAAATCTCCTGCATTTTAGTCAACTAAGAACCTAATGGGTTTAGGTAAATTGTAATGTATTATTTAAGCATTTCTCTAGAATTTCCAAACTTGTTATATACTCCTGGAGTAAAAAAAAAAAAAAAAAATAGATTAATATGATATTATTTCTGGTATTAAAGTTTAAACAAACTACACAGACGCAGATTTAGATTCACTTTATAAGTAAAAACGTCCCTCCTT